CACCCACACACACACACACACACACACATATATATATATATCTGTAATTATTAATATATTAAAAAAATATATATATCTATATATAATAATAATAAGTACTATTGTTATTATGCTATATTTATTATTAATATTATTATCATCTTTACGATCATGATCAGCATCGTCATCGCCATCGTTGTCATCGTATGCAATATAACAAGACTAGTTTATGACAACACACATAACAATATAACTATTACAGTACAAATCTTAACAAAAAAGTATCATAAAAAGCAGTTTTAATTAATTTTTTCATGTATATGAAGTAGGTAGTAAAGATTAATCAATTCAAATTAAAAAGATTAAGTTCTGTTATAAATTCTTATTATTATGTAATAACATTTTTTTAAAATAAATATGAAGTTAATTGTGTGTACGTGCGCGGGCGTGTGCGTGAGTACAATAATTATCTAAAGTTAAATTTGTATTTTAAAACCAAATAGAAATTTTTATCCTCGGCATTATTATTTTCGAGAATTCAATTTATAAATACTATTATTTAATCAATTAATTTATAAGTTATGATGTATATTCAATCTTCATAAACGTAAAAAGATTTGAATAATTAATACGTCTAGTAACCTTGAAAAATTGTTACCACCGATCAGCTGATTTTGACATTTAAAAGTCTATAACCTATTGACATCGAAATGTATTGCTAAAGACCACCTGTTGATTTATACATTTTGTTTATTCATCTTAATATGATTACCTAATACGATTATCCATGATATACAATCTGTTAACAATCTATCTTGTTAATAAAAATAAAAGTAATTTAATATTATTTATAATTACTTTATGTGAATAACGTGGATATAAATATTTAAATAAATATATCACATTCTGATGCACAATAAGGATAATCTATACGTAAAAATAATATATTGTATGCTATACAATATTTATAAACTTATAATACATTCAACCATGTATTTACTTACCATGTTCTACACTCATAATATTACATTGTGACTTCTATTCTTGTACTAAGACATATGTAGTAAGTACCTAATATTACTGGCACAACTACTATGTTTTTTAAGTTTCATATAAAAGGTAGAATAACATATTTATTGATAAGTATTACAACTTTCTTTTAATTATATCTTTCCCTTATTCTTTTTATATTTAAATATACACAATGACCATGTACACAACTACTCTGTGCATTTAACATTGTTTCAGCTATAATTTTGTAACTGTACGAACACATACATTCAGTAAAATTAGAAACTGTGTTTGTGTAATATATATGTCTTTAGTAAAAAACAAATTTCGTAGAATCAATATAGAATATGCATACAATAAAGATAAAAGGAGGAAACACAAAATATATCAATTTTGAAAAAGCATAAGAACAGTGAGTAATTAAGCATCATAAGATGAGAAAAGATATTACTATTATATAAAATTTGTTTTTTACACATTCAGGTCTTTACATGAAAAAGAAGAATAAAATTTTGAGTAATGCCTCCAATATTCTTAAATGACAAAACTCTTATTATAAATGTTCAACAAGGTACTATACAATAAACTGTGTATACATAACACATTTTCAATCCCTCTGATCTTGACTAGTGAATTTCATTTGAAATTTAATATGTATTACACAGATATAATAAAAGTTTATACATTAACTATAAATTTTGTTTTAATAAAAGAATTTAAAGTATAATTGTATGATCTCGTGAATCATGTATGGTGATAGTGGTTGATAAAGAAAACTAGAGAATACTTAAGTACAGAAAAGCTTAAATGCATAAAGATATAATTCGCTGAAATCATAAATAATGTGAATTCATTGTAGAATATTTTTACAAAATTAAATGTGTTATGTACTATAGTAAAAGAGAAATTATGTCGTATCTTTCGTAAATGATATGTAGGACAATTATATGTAAACAATATTTAATAATTCTTGAAATCCAACAAGAAATGAACATAGTTTGATGAACAAAATTAAAGATGTGATCCCTTTCTTTTTACATTATGTTTATCAAACAATTTTTCCAATTGTTTAAAATGTTGAAAATTCTTTTTAATTCTATACTTCAATTGATTCAATTTGTAATGATATCAAATTTTTGTTTGAGGTATAGTTTGTGGTAGACCCAAGGGACGGTAATTTTTTTTATTACAAAAGTTGTATTTGAAAACTGTTATGAATTAGATAATAAATGTCTGTTACGTAGTTCTTCGTTCAGGTTTCTGTCCTTTAATAATAGTTGGCCGGCCTTTTATGTAACCTTTCCTGCGGCGTGGTGTCTGAAACATTAATATCCAACCCCCCACAACTTCAACTACGTTTCAAGGTCACGCAATGTGTTATCGTAAAAAAAATAAACCGATACGATTGAATTGCTAAAACACAAAACCTTGTATTCTTTACTTTGCCATAAGAACTAAAGAACTCACCTTTTTACTGACATATGAATTGGCATTACGTGCAACAACTCGTTTAGATATTGGAATACTAGGTCTATTAAACTCATTTGGTTTTTTCACCCTGAAAATTGTTTTGTTAATTTACTTATAATCAATAATATATAAATTCTCATCCTTATCATTAAACTATTACCTGTAAATCCTAACAAGCCAGTGTTCAGTGGTATAAGCTTCTTCCAAGTATGTTAATTGGAAATTTTTATTTCCTATTTCTGCATTACGTGTACGATCATAACCAAAAGGCGTCCGATAATCCATCTTAATTTCTCCGAAACGATAATAACTTAACTTGTACATTAATGAATTTAAAAGAGTAGGTGAACCTTCAGAATCCACACGGAACTCTCCCTTTTCAGAGAAATAATCACTTTCACGAATTTCCTGTGGATGTTCACCTTCAGCAATTCGTACCATCCAGAGGAACTTATTAACATCATCACCAGAATATCCAATCATGCCTCCAAAAATAACTAATACATAATCTACATCTAGAGAGGTCATAATTTCATAGGCAGCAGTTTCATTTGAGCTCATGGCTTTCCCAACCAGAGCTATGTGAGAATTATTCCAAGTATTATTGTCCACAAGTGTAGTTCTAAAGTAGTATATAAAAAAAAATTGTTGAGTTTTTTATTCTGTGAAGAGATAATTTTTTTCTGCAGACGTTTTTAAACAGTACCTGTTAGCCATTCCAGCAATTTGATAACCATAGTCCCACCAACTCATAACTCTGGCATCAATAGGTGTATTTTGTGCCAACCAATAGTAAGCTTCTCTGAAATCATCTAATATGGCTCTACCGCCATCATTACTGTATGTTGCCAAAACAATCGAAGGACTTGAATATGCATTACTTGTAATCCAAGTACAATGCAAAGTAAACATCATCATCAACATAAATGCACCAATGACAACTCCGTTTCGAAGATTAATGCCTAAACCATCGCCATTCCCTCTAGGTCGCTCATGTTTCATTCTACGAAGTTTACCAGCTTTGTCATACAGTGCTCTACCAGGGCTTCTCTCTCTTTCTTCCTCACTTTCTTCTTCGCTTGCATTGCTACTCCGATCATTTCTTTCACTGTCTTCCTCTTTGAAGAATAACTCAAGAAGGTCACTGAATGCAACACCAGCAAGCATACAAACAACAGGTGTTAATGTGAGCATAAGCCTCACCATTACTCCAGCAAAATAAACAGCACTTATGGCATATAAAATAACTGTGAAACAATGATAAGTATCAAAATCTATGCACAAAGAATAAAAATATCGCATTGTAAAAGCTTACCAAAAACACGTTCATCATTAATATGCTTAATACAGTACCAAAGGCCTACAGGAAATGTGGTAACAAGAATATGCAAATCGAAAAAGAAACTAAACCATGTTGTAGGTTGATGTTCAGACACAGATGCTATTATTGGAATATGTATTTTTGCATAACCAGTATCCCATAATGAATAAAATCTTCCACTCCAAGGTGCGATAATGCCAGCATAAGTCAAACAGATTAAAATCACAAGAAGAACACCAGCTGTGACTGCAACTACTCCTCCAAAGTACTTCATTTCAGATTTTGTAAGTACAGTTCTCAAATACCTATAGTAATTTTAAGAAAATGTTAACACAGCAAACTTTTCATATTAATGTTATGAATAAATTAACATACCTGAGAGTTGCTATAAATATTAATAAACCGAATACACCTCCTGCAGCCATATGTTCTGATGTTCTTATTGGTTGAAAACCAACAAATGGTATTTGCATACTTAAGAGAAGTCCCAGTATATAAAATGTGGTATAACTAGTGAATAGGCGATTACTAAATCGATTCATAACCAGCAGTGCGAAAACATGAAATGGTATTAAATTAATGATAAAAACATAACCGCCCCATGCTGATACCATATAGAAGTAGGACAAAGCAGTCATAGAAGCCCAGAAGATGGACCCAGTTTTGACTGATTTGACCCATAGATAATATGTGATTTGCAAAGCGAATATAGCTATGCCTTCATTGTCGTAACTTCCTGCCACGGATCTTGAAATGTAACCAGGTACAATTGCAATGAAGCATGCTGCAAATAAACCAGCTCCAACACTCCATATTTCCTTTGTTAATAAGTACGTAGAAATGGCAGTAAGGCCACTAAAAATTGGAGCTAGGAATACACAAATGTCTCTTATATGCACTGGGATATTTAAAGAATGTAATATGTAATGTATCGATCCAGAAGTGATCATTAACCCAGGATAAACAGTTCCACCCACAATACGACCCAACGGATACCAAGCTCTTTCATCGAACCAATTTAAGAAATTATAGAATCCATGTTGAACCATATACGCTGTTGCTCTATAGTTAAACCTATATTTAAAAAAAAATATATTTCAATTATTTCTGACATAATCATAATGTATTTCTATGTAATTTAAATGAAACTATTTTATTAAGATAATATTATATTTTCGTGATAAAACGGAGGAGCACTAAATGAAATTATCGTTAAATATACGAATCTTAATATGATAATGTACATACCAAGGATCAAATTCATGTATGATACTTTCAAAACGTATTACTGCAAATAGCCTAGAGGCAAATCCTGATATCCAAGCCAGTAGCAGAACAGTAAATGTAATGAGGGAACTAAGACCAGCGGCATTCGTTAACGTGGAGCTCTTCATTTGCTTGGAAGTCGTTTTCTTATCGGGAAACATATCTTTTCTATTATTTGTCGTGGACGATCTATTTGGCAACATATTTCCTTGAAATTTAGGAACGCAATGGAAAATATTTTCGTCAACTACTACCAGACATTTGCCAGAAACATATTTACGTGTGTTTCCATCCGGCACGTTGCAAATCAAGCGGTCCGCAACAAATTACCAAATCACTAAGCCTAGGCTAGGAGGCTAAGACACGTCAAACGCCGGCTACGTGTTAACTATGACTTCCACACTAACCAGTCGTTCCCACTCACATAAAAATTTGGACAGAAAAACGGTATGTTCAAATATGCGCTTAAGCGCATACTACGCTCAATACGAAATATCAAGGCACCGATTGGTTTCGTTAACGGAACATGAAACAGAAATAGTTTGCCTGCCAATAAGATTAATTTCACGTCAATGTAATTTCCAATCATTGACTATGATCTAGATAGAGACATATAGTCCAACCTAAATACAGAGTGAGCATCTTGAAAACGTCATATCCGGACAATTTGTTATTAGTTGAACGATTGCCATTTATAATGTCCTATGAAATTAATATTTTCCATTTACTTTATATTTCCGGAAGAAATTTATTTGCATTAATTTAAATCTATCAGATATAAATATGAAAGACATATAATATTTAAAAAGAACTAAAAACATTTTTTACATCGTTTCTTTATCACTATGTCAATACGATTAAAAAATTAAAACTGCATGTATATATACATATACTGATATAAACAGGACGACAGTAATGAAATATTTGAAATAACACGGATAATAATTTGTAATGTTTACTAGTAAGGAACGGCTTATAAAACGTACTGGTAAAAATACTATCGGTCGTTATGAATTTTTAAAGCTCTTAGCTACGGAATTTAAAACCACTAAATCTAAAGGTACTGTGTGTATGAAAAAAGGTTATACGATTTTTTTATAGTCAAAATTAATTTATTGGTTTCACAGAAGCAAAAGAACAAGTATTGGCAAATCTTGCTAATTTTGCTTATGATCCCATTAATTATGGATATATAAGACAACTTCAAATAATTGATTTATTCCTTTATACATTATCAGAAAGTAATGAAAAGTTGATACGTTTTGCAGCAGGAGGTATTTGTAATTTATGTGCTGGTAAGCATTTATTTGTTTGTTGGAAAACTAGTATTAATAAAGATAAATGATTAATAAAATGCTTTTTTCTAGATCCAATAAATAAGTTATATATTGTGCGTAATCAAGGCATTCAGTTATTGACATCCCTTCTTTCTTCACAAGACGAGGATATCTTACTTTCAGTAATTACTAGTTTGATATTTTTAAGTATACCAGAAGCAAAAGATCAGATAACCACTGACATAATTGATAAAGTATCAGAACTTGCTTCGAAACATGAAAATTATCGAGTAAAAAATTTGGCAACAGTGTTTTCGAATAATCACTTGGAAGCAACAACTGAAATTAAAAATAAATAAAATATATCCTTTATTAACATTTATATAATTAATTGCTAAAAGGACATTGTTCAATATAAATTGTAACAAACAAAATGAAGTTAACAAAGACATTTTCTAAATTTTTAAGAAGATATTGTACAGAAACTATTGGATTAGATAATTCAACGAATGGTTTGAAAAATATGAGAACTACAAATGAAATATCAGTTTTTAAAACAATTACAAATGAGGATATATTACACTTTGCTAAATTGACTGGTGATTACAATACAGTACATACTGGTTCTGCGAATAATCTTGTCCATGGTGCCCTTCTTAATGGCTTGGTATCAGGAGTAATTGGTTCAAAAATGCCAGGCCCAGGAACAATAGTAGTGCAACAAAATCTTAAATATCCAAAACCATGTTATGCAGGGGATAGAATAGAAATAAAGGTGCAAATTGTTTCTATGAGAAAAATTATTACATGTGAATATATTTGTATTGCAAATGAAGAAAAAATAGTCTTAAAAGGAAATGCAAAACTCATTAAAAAGTTATGAAATGCGAATATGAGGATGCTACATGACTTTGTGAAAAGACAGCAACTTTTCTTTTATTATATTTATTCATGTTTTGTAAACTATCTTATGAACCACATGATTGCAATACCACAATACAATATTGCTTATTAAGCGATTAAGATGTGACCCATTTTAACTGCTGATATAAGAACATTACATACCTTTAACAACAGCTGTAGCTACTGGTTAACTTTCATTTAGTACTAGCAAGAGCTTTATTCTGTTGGATTAATGTAAGTAAAATTATTTATGTAAAATGTATGAAATTAAACTGTTAGTACAAGCAAAGGAATATAATTGTAAATGTAAAATACATTAATGTTACAAGCAAATATTTTTTGCAGAATTTTTTTTAATATGTATTTCACATATTCACTATTACTTATTTGCCTTGGATCTGGACTTATAAACGGTCAAAAAATATTAAAAAGTTCAAACAACACTCTTCAAATGACAACTACTGAATCTCCTCTTGGATGTACTTGTGGAATTTTTTTAAACAGTCAGTTTAAAAAAGGCAGTAAAGAACAGCCTAATGGAAATCCTGTTCTGATGCATGATCAATCTGGAATATTTCCATGTACTCCAAGTGGAAGAAGACATTGCATAAATAAATGTTTAGACAGTGTAAGTTAACTATAGAAACATATATTTATTTTTTTATTCTGTGATTTCAAGAATTATAAAATCTTGTACAGATTGTGAAGTATCTTCCAAACAGTTCTACAATATTATGTAGCTCATTAGAACGTGATTGCCATAAAGAAAGAGTAAGTTTTATTGTGTTAAACTGCATAGATGAAATGCTTCCATATTGAAAAATAATTAATATAAATATGTTTCTATAATAGGCTTACTTATTTATTAAGAACTGTAAACAGGAGTGGATTAATACCAATTTTTCTGCTGGAAGAGAATACTGTTGCAAGAATGGAGCACCATACAAATGTCCAATATATTAAAACATCTGTAACAAATTTCCTGTAATTTTTTTTTTATTTTTTTATATATATATATTGATGAATGTAAAAGCCCTTTTATTTAATAAATATACTCTTCTTTCTCCTCAATATTTCTTCTTGAATGTCCCGCCTCTTATCTAAAAATAGCTTCAAGATCGTCACCTACACTCCACATAGAATCAAAGGAATCCCGGATAAATATCTGAAATCGTCATTCTATAATTAGACATTTAGATGTGAAATTCTCTTCCACTTTGTGCATTGAAAAATAGAAATATTTTCTTTCATTAACCATTACCAAGTTTAATAATTGACATGTGACATATGATTTTGATTTTTGATCGGTGCTAATGGGTCAAGTTCAAGCATAACCCTATTAACATTATAGATGACAATGTTAAATTTAAATGGATCAGTTAGCTTAATGTCATGCCTTGTAAACTTCATTTAACAATTACAATCAAGGTTTCAGAAACATTTTATTTTTACCAATATAAAACAATGAAAAAAAAGGTCACTGTTACTCTTTATTATTACTAAATAATATTAATAAAAGTGTGGTACTTTATAACAACGGAGCATGATCAAGTTCTATTCTGACAAATACTGAATGTTTAGTGCTGAATATATTGCTAATAAAGAATTGGCAGAAAATATGTGTGCACGACTTCTAGCCTGCCCTTTATGCTCTCAACCAGGATTCTTAACACTGGATGCACTACGAACAGGATTAATAAGCGTAGCAACTCGACCTCTTTCATGTCCAGTATGTAATGAAATATTACTTGGAATTGATAAATTGACTATACATTTATTCAGTCATACTATTAATGTACATAGCAATAATACAACAGAACCCATAAAACACCCTAATACTCTTATTAGCAATAATAATTCGTCAGTGGTACATAATTTACAAAACACAAGTTTTCATGATTGGAATGTATGCAAAGTACAAGCTGTAGATGTAAAATCTTCTAAGAATGTACAAACTACAGAGGATGAAATTTCAATCCTAAATTCAGGAGTTTGTATACAAGAAGAAAATTTGCCTATGAATACCACATCTCAAGTTGCATTTCTATCAAATTCAATTTGTAAAGGTGAAGACATAAATATAATTCACAAGATGCATGAGAATGATAAAATCACGCAAAAAATAAATAAAGATTCTCAACAAATAATTCATGAAACAATGAATGTAAATTATGCTACACAAAATTATACCACAAATAATATTAAACAGGTAAACATGGTACAAAATCGTATTCAAAGAGAACATGAAAATATACAAACTTTCAAGCAATGGACTGGAAATCAACATTGCGAACCCAAAACAGATGAAAATATAAGCACACTGAAAAGATCCAGAGCAGAAATTAAAGAGGCTTGTAATACAAATACATTTCCAGTTACAAGTACTACAACAATTTGTGCTAATGTGCTAGAAAAGTATAATAATGAAAAAAATGAGCAGGACAATTCATCTACCACATCTGATGGAAACCAAACTGAAATTCTAAAGAATGGAGAAATATTATCACAATTGAAACAAGTTAAACCATTGATTACAAAGGAAAAGACTGAACGTTGCAATATATGTGGCTTTCATTTTCCTGACTACAATATTTTGCTTTTACATAAACAATTAGTACATATGATGAATGAAAAAGATCTGAATGTCATTCCTGAAAGCTTTCTTAAGAGTTATTCATGTCATTTGTGTTCTAAAATATTTAAAATGCGTGGTAGTTTAATGGTTCATATGAGAGTAGCACATATGGGATATAATTTAGGTAATTTATCAATATTAAATGTGTATCATATGACATGGTACATATTAACAAAACATATTTTTAGGTTCTTTAGCTAAAGGTGGACAAGTAGAACTAATATTTAATGAAAATAAATATAACTGTCCAACATGTGGAAAAACATTTAAAAAGGTAAATAGATCTTTGTAAACAATTTTTCAAAGATAAAAATGGATTTATTATTTCAGGAGCAACATGTAATACAGCATTTAAAAACTCATGAAGCAAAACAATGGGAATGTGATGTATGTAGCAAAATGTTTACAACAAAATATTTCTTAAAAAAACATAAACGACTGCATTCGGGAGAAATGCCTTACAAATGTAATATATGTAATAAGACATTTACTTTCCAACAATCATATCACAAGCACAGATTATATCATAAGGATGATAAACCTCATACCTGTACAACCTGCGGCAGGTCATTTAAAGAACTATCTACTTTACATAATCATGAAAGAATTCATACCGGAGAAAAACCTTTTGCATGCGAAACTTGTGGTATGTGACTTTTTTAAAAAGATTTCCTTTACTAAGTGCTACGAGTTGTCTTGAAATAAAGCATGTTTTGTTTTCAGTTATTACTAACAATTTAACATGGATTGTTCTGTATCTACAATGTACGTGTAATAAAGTTTTGTCACCACTACTACTATAGATGCAGCTTATATGTGAAAGCTAAAATTAATAATAATACGAACATGAAAAAAAATCAGAAGATTTGAATGTTGTGTAATATTCATTTTACAACCACAGATTACAATTTTATCTAATGCTAAAAATTATAATTCTTTATCCCTTTTAGGAAAGTGCTTCAGACAACGAGTTTCATATTTAGTTCATCGTAGAATTCACACTGGTGTTATGCCTTACAAATGTACAATATGTGGCAAAAGTTTCAGATACAAGGTACATTGTAATTATAATTGTTAAGTACTTTATAATTTAACTAACTATTTATTGTTACAGGTAAGTCAAAGAACTCATAAATGTCCAGCACAAAATATGGGAAGTATGCAACAGACAAACGATATTGATCTACAATCAGTGCAATTATCAAATGTACAAGCTTTGAGTACTAATTCGTGTAAGACCCAAAATGGTCATACTGAAGAGAGTCAAGCAATTTTAAATGTTATAAATAATGAAGAGAATAAATATGTCTTGATAATAAACACTCAGGGTCAACATCTTTTAACAAAAGAATCAAACATTGGTAATACACAAGTAATACAAGAGAAGGAGCAAAAATTAGATGAATGTACTACAAATGATAAAAGTGAAGACACAAAAAGCATATGGAAGACTGACATTCCTGATAATTCTATATTCAAAGAATCACATGAAACATCTAAAAAATTATATTCTAAATCTGAAAAACCCCTTCAAGAGGATACAACTGATTTCTTTTCAATGATAATATCGCCGCTTGAGAACGGACTGTCTTCTCCTACAGCTGAAATGGAACATTTACGACTATCATCACCAGCGCAAAAAGAAGACAGTTTGAAAGTCTATAGCAGTTTTGGAGGCACAACACATAAAATAAATATAAATAATGCAAGTATAGAACAAAACTTTAATAGCGAAGACAATGTAGCAAATACTTTACAGACTATAAATGAAGAATCTTTAAAACAACTACTGTATGGCATCAATGAAAAATAATTACAAAAAGAATTACGAACGATCAAAGAGAAAATAAACTATTAGCTTTCATGGTTTTAAATAAATAGAAATAATTTCAAAAAATCATGTTACCTCAAATAGTAATTACAAATGTTTTCAACATATAAAGCGTGTGATTATTTATTTAAAAAATAAACAGATCAAGTATAGTTTGAATTTGTAAATATGACAGATAATCGTACCTACTCAACATTTTGGATTAACACTTTCGTTTCAATCTCACGAGCTTTCATTCTGATACAATATTTAAACAAATTTAAGTAAAATTACTTTCGATTATGTCGGATTAATTTTCTAAATAAAAATAAATATTATTTCGTATATTTCACTCGACTCTTCCTTTGAATCGCGATCCTAATGTTTATTTACGTGAAACCACCTTGTTCTGCAATCCGCCTTTTTATGAAATAAAGCCATAACATTATTTTCGTCGCTGATTGGTCGATAATAAGCGAATAGAAACCGTTGGCCAATCACTGCGCAAAAGCTTTTCATTTCGGCTGCATAAAGGAACACACGTGCTTCTCTCGGGTCGACTAAAACTACCTGCATCGTGTATAATCCTTGGTCGAGATATCGTACGTAGCAGACGACGCTCCAATCGACTTGACAGCATAGTCCGTATTTTCACGTGTCCTCTCGTACATCGCATTGCGTAACTGGAGTCCGACTTCCAGGGAGGAGCTCCCTTTTTCGGTAAGCAGATGTCCATAAATAAAATTAAAAATCAATCAACATTCCACGAATATTACGCGTTTAATCGATTAAGACGAAAATTTGTTGAATTTATCAGCCAGCGGATATATCATTTATCACAAGCTGTTTTGACGCAGCCTAAGAAATATTTCAGTTTATCGGCCAATTGGCCACTGCCAAATGAGGTTTTCAACCAATCGTCGATAGTGTGTACATACTTGTCGTGATCAAACAATAGAACTGGGACCCAATGTCTATTACGACATTGTAATTGTAAGAGTTTATCTATTTTCGTAGCTTGTTCAAACCCAATGGAATAATTATGAATGTTCTATAACTGTTGTGCGATTATTTATCTACCTGATACGAAGATGTGTCATAGCCATCATCTCACGCATCGTTGTAAACATGTAAACACGATCTCACACATCTAAGACAGCTACGACGGTTTAAAATGTTTGTCAAAAAAGTCTTCAACATACATCATATGATGGATCAAGGTTATTTCACGCAGTTCTCCGTAAACTGGACTGGCGTATTGACATAATAGTATACGTGTTCCATAAAAACGTTACTCCCCACCGAAAGTAGCGAAGATATATTTGGCATCAAAAATATTTATTTCATTAAAGACATTCATTGTTCGTGATATCTATTATTTACATTTCTATTCCAAGTATCATTTGAAATCTTACGTGTTGCTTATCATTTATTAACAGACAATTCAACGTTACGTTAATTACATAAATCTCGTGCGTTTGCTCGCGGACGTTTACGATGTCCTACGCATGTTGTAACATTGCATGACGTTGAACAGAATGCGTATGATGTCTAGTGTCGCATCGGCTTAACGGCATTCCAGAAATAACCGATTAAAGGATTAAACGTAAATCTTTCTCGGATTTAAAGCTTCATTATTAATGACAGAGCAACTTCGTTTGCGGCTAATTTTACACCGCAGTTGAGGAGAAAGTAAAAGTTCGCAGTTTGAAAAAAAATACATCAAGATGGCTATTCGCGCCGGTTTCGCGTCTGCTGCTGCTGCTGCTGCGGTATGAGTCGTGATTTTACTCCACGCGGGCATCGAGTTTTCGAACGCACCGACGTTGACTCTTCTGTGTGACGTTTCCCAATGGGGGCGGAGCATTCTCCAGCTTCCCAATTCTAACCAACCCGATCCCCATAGCCGTTGCATTCTACTGATTTGCTTCAGTGTGCCTCGGCAGTGCGTACGGTGCGTTTTTTGGTATGTGCCCGTGCACATAGCCGCTCACCACCAACGTACGTTCGTGCTCGCGAACATCCATTTCTCTGTCGTATGTAACGAGAAACTGTTGTGCTTGTTAATATCGTCTAGCGAAAAGACATACTCCTCGCAATGCCCTGGGCATGTTTTTCCGACATTCAGGTAATATTATCGATATTATTCGGATTTTTTTTTCTTTCTCCGCTTTTTCATTTTTCTCTTTCTTTACTCTCTTTCTTTCTCTCCCCTTTTTCTCTCCCTCCCTTTGCCTCTCTGCCCCTCGAAAACCCGCATACCCGAGTGGGATTCTCTTTTTCGAGGACCTCAACCTGAGGTCACACGGTGACGAGGAACAGAGAGGCGAAAGAGAGAAAGAGATGGAGAAAGAACTCGTCCTCCATTACTTGTTCCCAAGCAAATGGTGGCTTGCTCACTTACGAGTCTCTTTGTTATAATTATTTACGCCTTCCGTTGTATCCTTACGGTATACTGTGACTCTATTCGTGGCTTTGTTGCAATCGAGCAATCCCGACATTCGTGGAAGGGATACGTATGATGTCAACGGCACGATTTTCCATTGCCTACGATATTAGAAACGGACACCAGTTGTAGTGTTTGTTATGATTCTTGGGTTCGTTACTATCTCTTTCACCATGGAGGAAAACATTAATTGCGCATCGCCTTCGGTGTATTATTTAGTTGCACTGCTCTTGCCCGAGTGCGCATTGATCTAACGTATTTAACCATAATAAGTGGTTTCTTTTATAATCCAGTTTGTCAGAATCGAACTATCGTCTACAGTCTTATTATTTTTCTTTTGTCTTTCATCTTCTTTTTTACCTTTATCGCGCTGCTCGAAAACTGGTATAGAATATTTCCTTTGTTGGAATTCGTAGAAACACTTTGATTTTTAGAGACGTGATTGTGTGTCTTTATGTAACAAACATATTTTTGTTATGTATTCGATATTTCATTCTTCTTGTAATTTCTGTTAGATTAACGTGAAGGCATTAATAATATCGTTATGTCTTGTTTACGTGAAAAAAGAATTTAGAATAAATATATTTAAATGTTACATATAATAATGGACCGATATTTTATTTTGTTGCTTTGTATTGCATTGCATTATTGCGTAATTGAATATTAAAATACATATTGAAATTAGTTCTGTAGTTCCAAAATATATAGTTCTATTTTGTATCACAATCTTAATTTTCATTTGTTCGTTATGCTCTTGTTATTATATAATGCATAGATAGATTATGTTACAGTAACTTTTTTTTTTGTAACATCAAGATTAATATATATTGTCTTTTGTATTGTTATGTTTGTAATTTTTCATGTGAATACTGGTTGATTGTTTTATTTGTGTCATGCGAAATAATTAATAAAAATGTTTATTCCATTTTTGTTTTCAGACAGTATAGTGGCATGAGTCGATTAATCTATGGCAGATCAACAAGATCAGTTGTCATCAGGGGGGTCTGTAGAGACGGCAGATGCTTCAGCAGGCACCTCTAAGCCTAGAGGAAACAACTCTAGCAGTGGTAGCAGTGGTTATAGAAAACGACAAAGCACTGGTTCTATTTCAGACACTGTAGAAGAAAAAAGACGTAGAGAAACTATTGATAACCCGCAATCGTCTCAAGTTTTTAATAATACTTCTTATAAACAATTGACTGATACTTTCAAAACAGTGAGTAGAGCAAGAGGCGATAGTAAAAGTCATGGCAGTGGCTTAGAATCATATCTAGGTAATTATATTTATTTCAATGAAATTATAATTTTTTTTAAAGTTTATTTTTTAGGAAATATTAATATCTGTACATTTTGTCTGTTCTTTAGATAATACTTGGAGGCCTCAGCACAAGGTTCAGCAATCAAATTATAATATCAGTGGGAATAGTACAAGAGTTCGTAGTACAACAAGAACAAGTTTACCAGAGTTCAATTTGAAAGCTATCGACTGTATTGCAGCGAGGACACGTTCTAGAACACCACAAAATTCGCAAGCCATATCGCAAGGACATAATAGTTTCGATTTATCGTTAAACAGTGGTTACAATAACAGAGAAGAGTTAACATATAACAACTTGGTACCAACGTCAAGTGCTACGCCAATTACTAGTCATCCAACCACATCTAGAGGAAGAGGTTAGTTAATTTATTTATTTATTTAAAAAGTGTTGGTTGCAATGAGATGTGATGTGTGATTTGAGTGATCAGATAATATAATTCAGAAACAAATTAAACCAATACTTAATGTGTTAATATATTTATCTTGATCTATATTAAACTATGAAACCTATAAAAATGCAATCCTAAAACAATTAGCAAGCAACCGATTAATATAAATCTGTACTGAATACGTTGACTCGCCTCCATTCATTTTTATTAGAAAGATATTGAAATTGGCATTTAAATTTTGAAAAGTTAATAAATTTTAATTTATCATGTCATTGAATATTAGTAACTTCCTAATTTTTTCTACATAACTATATGTGTATACATATATAAATATATACATGTATATGTATGTATATGTATTTA